CTTTCCCTATGGGACAGCTTAGAGCACTAAGTGGCTTGTGCTTGATCGACTCACAATGTTGTTGAAAAGACTGAAGAGACGGAAAGGTTCGCTGTCATTTCTTGCATGTCCGATCACCCGCACTTGCTGTGGTGACTTTTTCCGCCTTTCTTGCATTGCCGTGGGGCTGTTGCTGGAGAGGGTTCCGATGCACAAGTCTCGCCATGTGCGCGTTCAAGGCGTGGATATCTTTGAAAGAGATGTCACAGTTGCAACAACGATACTCGGAAGCATGGAGCTCTACCTCGCAGTGATTTTTCCAAGCGCTCTGGCTTTCGAAGGGGAGGTCGCATTCCGAACAGAAACAATGCCCAGTAGCAATGTAGTGGTCTTCAAAGATATCCAGGCGCTCACAGAGTTTGCCGCAATAGCCACATTTGCGAATGGTAAAGTTGTACTGAGCCACTGGAGGATGTCTGCAACTACCTCTACAGACATGTGAGGGAAAGTGACCTCGCGCCCTTTGATGTTCTTCCAGATCAATCGCCCAATCGTCCACGCATCATTCCGCAAGAACGTCTGCTCAGTCGATTCTACGAGCCTCTCGTCCTGCTATATACACTTGGGCGTACGAGGGGAGACCATGTGCGCGCCGCGACGCCTTCACAGAAGGACATTGCACATCTTCCGCTCCTCGATATAAGAAGAATGTTTCTGAATGACTTGGCATATATGTGCGACTATGACAAAGGTGGTGAGACTGTGACAGCAATTGGGTTGCAGTCCACACCGCAAAAGCACATATTCTGGGTCGCGTCCAATACAGGCTCGAAAGCGAAGACCATTGAGTTTGTTCGCTCAATCTTAGCACAAATCATCCATATATCGGCTGCTTCAAAAGCTTCGCAACCTGCTACGGAGCTGGCATCGCAGTGTATTGCTTTTTCGACCCTAAGGATTAAGAAATACAGAAATCTTCTCAAACCCCTTCTTCGAAAATGCACTTTGTATCTTGCCAAGATAGGGCAGGAAGTCGGTAAGTTCAACTCTAATGCGATTATTGTGGTCGATGATGTAAGGATTTCTTCACAGAACCCGGCCTCCTCGAATGGCTGCAGAGTTGGGAGTATCCGAGTAGTCTTTTAGACCTGTGCTGCTCTGCACATGCAAGCCGTAAATCGAACTTCATGCGTGCCCTCGCTCGACTTAGTGCAGAGCCCACTTATGGAAGCAACAGAGACGCGATACATGTGGCTTTCGGCATGATTCGACATTACATTGGGCGGTTAGGTTACCATTTTCGAGCGGCTGATACATTAGTGGCATGTGCACCTAGACTCTTTTACCTACTTCACGATTTTGAAGTCTGCAGCGTTCCTATCCCAGTCAAATCCGCGATTCCTCCGCCAGACGAGATGACCACACTTGATAAGATACTCGTCCGTATGCTACCCGCCAATTCTCCCGAGCTACATCTATATCAAGAGGCGCTTGCATATATGGACGACCGATACCAGCTATTCAGCCGGTATATGGATAATTACGTTAGGCCTAACCAGGGCTCTTGTGTTCATGCTGAGATTCAAGTGCTGGAACATTTCTATATACATGGGATGCATTTTGCATGCGATGACCCATTCATCGCATGCAGCAAGCCTGCATGTTTCTGCTGCCTTCTCTACTTTCGGCACTATCCAGGACACGTGGTGGAGCCGGTCTCTCACAATAAAATCTACCTAAATTGGCGGCCGCCTGATTTTAACGCAACAGCGGGCATCATTAGTCCAAACCACCAACGGGACATTCTGAATGCTATGAATCAAGAGATTCGAAAAGAAGCATTGCATCAACTCCGTGAAAAGACGGCGCCTAGGACTTGGCATCCAGACTCCCTTACCAACATCACGTGGTCTGCTCCAAGCGAGCAAAGCGAGCAGGTGGTAAGAGGGATAGACGATGCTCCGGGCTTAGCAGCCGACAGAACCGTGTCTTGTAGGCGCTCTGAAAGCCCGTACGTTTCGGGATCTGGGGGAGCATTTCTGATCATGAGAACGACTGAGGGCGGAACTAATGTCCTGAGGGGCGCTTCTGATAACGTTGCCTCAGAGAATATATTGAAAATCTGCCAGCCACCTCTGGAAGAGCTTGTTAGCGATTCGGATGAGAACGGAGGAGTTCAAATCGAACTTTGATCGGAGCTGAAACTGTCGCAATAATAGCAACCCTTTCTGGATAATTACCAGATCCGAAGTGCTTTATAGAAATCAACTACAAAATCCCCGCCTTTATGTAAGAGGCCCAAGAACGCTTCTTCTTTTTGTAAGTCTTTGCCGTGTTCAGCTGCGATCTGAGCGACGGCTAAGCGCATGGAGCAGGAGCTTCTAGTAATGGCATAGATTTCTTCGACACAGATCGGGAAGCTCTTGCTTTGCCAGCCAACCTTTAGTCGGTGCTTCATTTTGGTCAGAGCAAGCACTTTTAGATCTTTCAGGAAGAACATGTCAGCCAAAGCGTACACTCTGGGGTCTTTCAGCATGGCTGAATCGTCTGACCCTAGGTTAGCAGGCCAGAATTACAGGTCTACGAGGAGATGCTTACCTTGCAGACCCTCAATTTTAAGATCGTCTGTATAGTCGCCGGTATATAGATACTCAAAGACTCTCCAATGAGCCATGGCACTGCCTTCATCAAATCTAATCTCGCCTTCGCAACCCTCCGCGAACACCTTGTCTTGAAATGCTTTCGCAAAATAGCGACTTTGAACACAAATCACAAAGCGATGCGCGTAAAGTTTAGTTCCATGGATAAAGATAGTGACATCTGAGTAATCTTGCTTATTGAACATTCTGCCCAATAAATCAGTCTATCTTGCGGCGCGACAGTTAATAGGCCTCGTTCAGCACATACTTGCTGACAAAGTTTACATTCGGGAGATCTGTTGTAGGCTATATCTAGTATCAGGTCGGTATCCATAAAGCACAAGGAATTTATCTGAGTGGTAAGAGAAAACGTACTGGCATAACTGCTTTAATCTCCTTGTCGTTTTGAGCAGGTGCTAGGACCTCAACGTTTCGTATGATGGATGTGTATAATGGACTGAGGTTACGATCGCGCTGAATACGATTTCTGGCTTTGTCCTTTTTTGACTGAGCTCGCCTCCGTCTTGCTTCCGCGAGCGTCGGCATGCGTGCTAGAGAAGTAAGCGAAGCAATTTTACAACGTGGGGAGCGGCACAGCGGCTTACGTTGGTGGGGGAACAGCGCCTCTTCGGAACTGTGTAGGTACTCGCAACGTTAGGGGTAATGCAGCTAGTAAGGCGGCTGCACTAAACGTTCTAACTGAACTGACTAGAACATGTTCAGCTCGGGCGCCTAGAGAATACTCTTATTAAATGAACATGAAGATGGTGACATAAAGGCGCAAGTGAGGTGAGATTGACGATTGATAAGCTCATAAACGATAACGTGTTCCACCAGTAAGCTGGACACACCAGTAAGCTGGACACCCCACCCAACCTAACGCCACTTTCTGTGCAATTGATTCACAACAACGCAATAAAATAAGATAAGATTAAGAAATACGATTCAATATCTAGTTTTACAGGTAGTCCGAGTATGCCCTTGAATATGGCACTTAGTACACGTCGGCGGCGCGCGCTGTCGTCGCTGACTGCTCTCACCCTGCTCAACCTCCGTGACCACCCTTTCTATCTCTGCAGTAAGCTGCTAAGCCTGCTAAGCCTGGAGCACTCCACCAGAAGCAATATATTGACGCCGTCTATCTTGCTTTTGTTTTTGACGCTAATTAGCTGCACGTAGTTTCTTATTTTCTTCAGCGAGTATAGTTGCTGACTGCATCGCTATTTAACAGCCTTTAATAACCTGGCGTAAAAGCCGGCTTGTTAGGCTTTATGATTCCCGATGGAGTCGTTCTTAAAGAAGCTTTGCCTACTGCTGAAGCTGGGCTACTGTATGCGGTGTTTCTACCTGTATCGTAGCGTTGTTATCTATAGTTGTCTGTGGTAGAGATGGTGTCCTAACGACAGTAAGCGACGATAGGACACGATCTAGATAAGAAGGGAGAAGCCCAGTCGCCCGAAAGCCAGCTTGGATGTTCTGTTAAGTAAATACTGTCGGCTAGATCCGTGCATAGACTGTAAGGAAGTCTATCTTGTCAATATGGTTAACGCCTTGGCGAGCGAGCTCCTCAATCTCACGCCCGTACGCGCGCTTTAGCGGTGAGAAGCAGCTTACATCAAGCGGCTGGAGAAGATGAGAGGTATGAGGTGGCATGCAGAGAGTGACAATCTTGTTCTTAGCGCAGTACTGGTCGAACTCTGGCGTAGCATGGCTACTGTGGCCGTCCAGGATAAGAAGACGATAGACTCCAGCCGTACGAGCGGCTGTATACTGGTTGAAATGCTTTACCCACTCTATACTAAGCTCGTCTGTCGTCCAGCCGTTATCTGAGACGCCGATAGTCTAGTTAAGGGGGAGGTCGCGATACCAGCTGTTCTAGTGGACTTTACCAGACAGAATCACAAACGGTGGTAAAGACCAGCCAGACGCATTAACGCACTCGATAACTGTCACCCACTCGCGATTACCTGGCTGTACGACGACTGCCCGACCAACTCTTTCAGAGCTTGTGACTACTTTTGACGTCCCAGCGACGCCCATAGCGAACCCAGTCTCGTCAAAGTTATAGATGTCTTGGTCGAGAATGCCGTACGTCTGGCGCGTCTCCTCTACTAGCTTGAACCAGGCTGTAATCACAGTAGGATCCTCGCAGTGGGCGCGCTGGCTACTTAATCTTCTAGTCCACTTTGTCTGAAGCTCTGGCTGGCTCTGAATAAAGCGCGATACCCAGTTCTTGCCTACAGGTTGTGGAGGGGGATCTTGACCACGCGCAGCGAGTAGAGTGTCTGCCATCCGTCGCACGTCGATGATATGGGGCGGAAAGCCACGCCGATCTAGCTCTAGGATCCACTGAACAAGAGAGTGCTCCTCGATAGATGATAGCTTACGCCTGATAGACGGAGTATCTGATTGTGGCTGAGTACCATGGATGCGCGTATACAGAGTTGACTTTGGTACGTCATACGCTTTCGCAAGCGCACGGATAGGCTGTTTTTTATTATTATGATAGGATGCTATAGCAAGACTTATTCTGCTTTCACGAGAAGTTGATTGAGCACTTTGTTGTCGCGGCATGGTGGTGGTTGTGTCAAGCGTTGGGTCAGGTTAGGTGGGGTGTCCAGCTTACTGGTGTGTCCAGCTTACTGGTGGAACACGTTAGTTAACTAACTAGTTATCTTGTGATGATACGTATCTCGTATTAAAGCGCTGATTCGGAAACGGAACAACTATAAGTCCATACTGTCCGTGCGCACCCAATGCAACACTTCAGCCAATGCAACACCCCACCAAAAAGCGAGCCCACCGAAAAATGAAGCTTTTGACCACCACCAAAACGTTATTATCACGAGATTTTTTGGTGGAGTACTGGTACGATCGTATATTTGATATATATCTACTTATATCTATGTAACAGTGGAAATACATCCATTTTAGGATGTCTTTAGCCGCTGCTTTTAGAGGCGTTTCCACCTCGCTTAATACCTATCCTATTGCCGCTTTAACTAAACCCATGCTTACTTACTACGCTAAGCCAACCCCTACCTTACCACAGTACCCTAGCTATGTGCTACTGTTAGGGAGAAGAAGGCTGCAATTACCGTTAGTGCTTCCGTGAAACCTAAGAATGGTCCTGTGCCTACAACCTACCTATAGACTGGTGCCTACTTAAAGTGATGGCATGCTCACTATCTCTTCCACCATCACCTCTTCTACTTCGTCTCCCTAGCCTTCATCCAGTCACTCGCGGCCTACCGCAATACTATCCTTCAGGAAGTAAACTATTCGAGGAGAGCTAATCACTTCTATTGACAGCCAGAACACCGCTCTAATGCGAAATCGGTACTCATTACATCGATCCAACCTATCTTCAGCTGCCGGCTCGTGCTATGAAGGGCAGTCAGACATAAACTTGTCCTCCGATACGTACTCAGACCTTAATACAGAGGCGGACACGGATATTGATATCGAGCTGAGTACCGGCAAAGATGATTGTTTCACCATGCAGCAGGAGCTAAACGAGGATCTGGATTCTGAAGCTGAAGAGATACTAAAGGACATCGATAAATTGAGGGCAGATGGACCAGCAAAGCACCCACGGAGCTGGATGACGAGCAACAGGAAAAATTACGGAACGATTCTGCACTTGCGCTCCTTCGTAAAGAGCGAGAGATGTACAAAAGACAACTCCATGACCAAGGCTTTTATCCGATCTCGAGAGGTCAAGGGACGGAGCTTTATGAGAATTACGAGAACACAAAGCGAAAGATTAGTAGTACATATCAAAGATTGTACAGAGAACGATTAGTGTCGGCCATACGCGAGTTCCATGACTCTATCGATACAATTGAGATAGCCAGACAACTTAATGGGAAGGCCGCAACCGAAGTCCTGACGCTGCCAGCCATCGACTGAACTCCGGGAGCGAGCCGTTATCACTAGCATGCTCTTCAAGCCGATTCAGAACGTCGAAGCGCGGGTAAGATTTCTGCGTACCTTGGCTAGATTATGCCACAAACAAGAGACTCGGCAGCTAAAAGCGCCTAAGCGAAAGAGGGAGGATTTTCTCGTATCCAAAGTCGATGAATTATCTTCAATAAGTAAACGAAAGAAGAGCACCGATGGTTTTGAAAAGAACTCGTTAACTCAGGATGGTGAAATTGCGGAAGAAGAGCTTGACATACCTCCGTGCGGGAACATCTTGCACGCTCGGCCTCGGCAGTTATACCCAACAACTCTCCCTTACCCAGTATGTCTTATCTGTATAGGGAACGAAGAGTTCTCGTATAAGCGGAGGATGCACCATGTTCCACGAAAGGATGTCCTGAAGAAGCATGTGGAGAACCATTTCCGACTCCCTGAACTTCAGTCAAAGTTTCAATGCCGCCATCCTAGTTGCTCCGTCATTCTGTTCGACATGATGGACTTCAAGAGGCACGCGTTTGACGCTCATGGAGTGTCTCACTAATGTGCGTAAACCTCCCTCTGCTGGTATTTAGCACCATGAAAGCAGATAACGACGATTGAATATATATAGAAACTGTCTTTTTAATTTTTTTCGATGAAGTGTGCGCTTGAGTTTTACTTCTTCACCATGGTTTGCTTCCAGTGCTTCCGTCCTAAATCCAGCGCCTGCGTGCAGTCGGTGATTTGGCTATACAGCGCAGCAAAAGGATCTAATCGTATTAGTGTCTGGAGTATCTCACTCTTGGAAAACACCCCTCCAGAGTATGTAATTTGTCAGAAGGCGCAGTTCCGCTGGTGGCTTCTGTATATCCCTAAGTAACTAATTAGTTAGTTACTCTAGGTAGATTGAATATGTAGACAAAGGCCTGTCTTGAACAAGGCGGCCCAGATGTTCTAAGCAATGAACGCCTGCTCACTCGCGCAAGCATAGAGAGATATGAAGTGCTGGTTGCCGACTGTGCTGGCGCCTCTAGTAGTACGGTACAGCTTCCTAACATGTCTATGATATGCGGACTTCAATAGATCAAACGCCCCAATATCAAGATTGTGTCTGCTCAAGCGCCAATTTGGGTTACTTAATTTTGTTTCTTTCAAAAACGTGCTCCGTACACAATCGCTACCAGTTAGTTCTACATCGCCGCTAGCTATAATTGAGATTGAATCTACTTGCACTCGCACAACTCCTAAGTTAAAGAACATCCAATTATTCCCGAGCTGCACACATATATTTGAAGAATCCTATTGTTTTTCCGTAATGTGAACAGTCGAATCATTACAGATATACCACAGGAGTGACTTTGCAGCCTCATGCCGGCCGTAGGAGTCCAATTCACTCGTAATATTCTGCGTGAGAACCGCATTGCCATGACTATCAGCCTATTGTATGAAAATCTACAGGCGGGGCGCCAAAAGACGCAAAATTGCTGGGTTACTGTGGGCAGATGCTATACCCAACAGATTTTCACGTTCGGAATTTGGGCTTGGAATGTCTAATTCTAAGCACATCCCATCGAGCAAATATTCCAGTGCAACGACATGGTTTCCCAGTATAGCTTCACTGATTGGCCGTGAGTTACGCCACAATTCAGTTTTCAGCACTTCCATCTGTTTTGCTCGGTTCAACAACCGCTGAATCATTGGTAAACAGCCAGCCCGGGCCGCTACGCAAAGAAGCTCGTTACCCCACTGCCCATCTACAAGTGTGTCCAGCACACTATCTACAAGATCAAAAGCTTCTTCCCAATTCTCATGGCGAGATCTAGATTGGAACCATCTCTTAATAATGAGTTGGAAGAACTGAAGATCCTGAAGCTGATGACAGATCTTGCCATTGAAGAAGAGCATTCTAAGCCTTGATAGATCACCCCACTGCAATATTTGATCGGCAGCATTTAAGGCTGTTAAAGGAAGGTAATTGTCTGCATCAAAATCTGAATTCTCGAGCATGTAGTGGAGGATTGAATCCGAGCCGTAAAGTGAAGCAATGCTAAGAGGATCGTGCAAACGACTGTCAAAATCGAATCTGGCCTTAATCGCGCAGCCTGGGCGACAATTCTGATTGATCCAGTTATGCAGTCGCATCGAGCCCACTTGACACAATCTGTGTATCTTTCCCAAATATGGAAAAGGTTCGTGTCCGATAGCGCCAAAATGTTTGAGCCAGTAGCTGGATGCGTAAACGAAGAATTCACCAAAGCCCCGCTCAGTCGGGTCATAGCGTATCATGTCTTCTTCCCACACTTCCCATGTACAATTAACATCGTACTCGAAAGATTTTCGGTCCTCAAATAGGTCAACTTCTTGAGGGAGCTCGTTGATTGCGATTTGCTCATCAGAGAAGAGTGGGATAGTGCCAATTTCTTGCAACAGAAGATATTTTATGCATATTTCCAACATGAACACTTCTAAACGCTCAGTTCGAGGAGCATCAGGCGTTGTCGATGTATCGAATTCTTTGAGATGTGACCAGTCTCGTATTATGAATTCCTTCACCGACTGATGAACAAGTCGGACCTGACGCTTTCTGAGATCTGCAAAATCCACTCGAGTGATGAATGGATATATCAGGCTCATCACTCTCTGGTGGTCTACAGATTCTGCGAGAGCAGTGACAGTGTTGATGTCGTGGTGGGCAACAGCCAACGCCACAGCCCAAGTAAGCTCTTGGATACTGAGAGGCCTACATGCAGCTGCGAGAAGCTTCAAAGCTAAAGCTGCGAGCTCTCGATTTTCGGTATCATTTGACGAGTTTCGTGAGAGTAAGGTCGTATAAAGCTCTGAAAGGTGGCCTGGCAAAGACATATTGCCCAGGAACAGTCGCATTGGTGCGAGCGCGTTGATCTTGCGTACTTCAATGAGTTCAATAGTCATTTTCGTCCAAATGGCACTTCCTTGTGCGGAACGAGACAAACTTTCGACAACAAGTTCCCTGACAGACTCTGACAAATAGGGCAATTGCTCCTGCACTGTATGCCGGACGATGACAGTATCTCTGTAAATGCTGGACTCCATAGAGATTTTAGTCGTTTTTCCGAGCTGCGCCATAATTTCCTCTTCAGGTCGTGAAGATAAGAGAATCTTAAGCTGTGGGGTTTCCTTCAGCAAGTCTTCTAGTACTCGCAAAAGTGTTCTTCTTGAGATTCTGTCGCACTCATCAAGTCCATCGATGATAATGAAGAGCATACGATCGAATGTCGCCAGAACCAATTCCAAAAATTCTCCTAGCTTGCTGGCACTTGTTGCCGGCTCAAGGGTTCCGGAAGTTTGATTTTCTTTGTACCATTCGTAAAATGTCTTCTTTAGGCCAGGTAGCTGTTCAAGAAGCGCGAGAATCAGTCCTGATAAGATGTTGACGACTTGTCCACTTCCGTCGTCTCGGCAGTAGTAGTAGCACACTTTCGGCCTAGGTATCTGGTATGCATTCTTTTGATTCAACTCATCCACAACGAATGTCATGGCAACCGTTTTGCCGCAACCCATTTCACCAAGAACTACTAGTTGTTGAGATTCGGAGGCTTCACACCATTCGATGAAGTTAGGATGCTCGAGTAGGAACCTGCAAGCCTCATCGCTTCGAAGCTCTTTCAAATGGTTGTGGTATCGGACCTGCTGATTCAATCGGCTGCTGTCTAGCCACCTGGCAACTGAAATTGCATCAGCGTGTATCTATCGTGCATCGATCAGCACCAACTTACTCTCACGATCATAAAGCATAGACTTGATATCCTCAACAATCTCCCACGTAGATTTCTCGATAAGTTTTCGAAGGACTTCAGCACGTACTAAGAAGTCTTGGATAATGTTCGGCAGACGATCAGTCTCCAAAACCATCTTTATCGCCAACTTCCTTCCTCTCTGCATGAGTATATCGTAGGCAACCCTGTAAAATTCCAGGAGCTTTTGGTAAACATGAACAAGTGCCTATAGAGTGTTAGGGAGCCGTCGAAAATTTGTGAGAGGAGTTACCTCATGAATGTCAGTCTTATTCACTCGCTGTCCAAGCGTGTCGCAATCATCAATATAGGAAATTTGCTCCAACATCTCACCAATTTGCTTTGCAAATTCCAAATCTGCAGTTGCTAAGGTTATTGCAATCTATGTCCAATCAGGTTAATTACAATCGTTTCGTGAATGCCAAAATCCAATGTCATACGTACTGCTGTCACACTCCTAGCAACACCAATGACTGTTGACGCTGTCGGATCCAAATTACTAAGAGGAGACGCTAGGTCTAATGCCAGCTTGAATCTTTCGAGCGGCACCTGTATAGAGCGTAGATAGGCCACACCGCGCAGGAAAGCTGATTGTTGAGTTTTTTCTTTATCAATGCCTTCAAGTTCTGCAAATAGCTGGGCAGCACTGCTGCTCGCGAGAATGGCCATATCAATGTTCTTTCCAAGACTTTCTACAGCCTCACGATATGCTTCACTCCAAAGATCAGATGATGGGATTGTACACCGAGTGTCGTGTTCGAGGTTTGATGGATTGAGAGATTGCGCGAGGTGATCCGAATGGAGACAGATTTGACTTGTTCGGGCCTGGACACTATCAGAACCAGCTACAGTCGAGTTCATCAACACTCCGTTCGCTTGTAAGTGGGAATTCCTTGCTTGCTTAGCTAAATACACTAGATAATATGTGGAACTGACTGAGATATATCGAGGTTCTGCAGCGATGGTGTTTGGCCATTATCGGGATGGTGGAGTTTCCGACGAAAACGATGTAACTTCTCTGAAAGACCATGCCTAAAGCTCCTGCTTCGAGAAGATGTAGAGGACGCCATGGAAGCAGAGTCTTGAGAAGTTGGGTCTCTTATCGCCCTAACGGAACGGACCGTATGTGGGCAGCAGGAGGGTAAAAGGCATCTGCGAGGGCAAAAGGCCATATTAACCGCCAGGGAGGTACCCCGCACATTATTGAGTCTTAACGTTATCAGGCAAGTGCTAGTCATTGTCGGCGCTTAACATTTACGAGTGCACAGACACGCCAATTTTGGCTCCCCAATAGAACCGCAAAGCTAAGGATTTGGATTGCAGTCGCAGTGTCTAAAGAAGGTCCTATTCAATAACTACAAGATCTATAGAGTTAGAATCATATCGCTCTTAGGTGGATTGATTATTTAATTATATCCTGCTCGGCTTGAGTCGCGACATCCGGGGCTGCAGATAAGTATTGTGCCGAGCGGCGAAGTGCCCGGACGACAAAGCGCAGCACCACCGAACACTGTCACCACCAAAAAGCTGAGGCTGTAAAGCACCACACAAAAACGTTTATCAAAAGATTCCTTAGTAGACCATGCAGATAGTCCACTTGTTATGTTCTGGCTAATAGCTTGATATCGCGGCCGCGCCACGTTCGCACAGGTGGTGGGCTACTTAAGTGATCTAATGACTTACCACCACTACTACGGATCATTGGCGGTTGTTTCTTTTCGAAAGCTTTGCGCGAACTTCAAAACTGTTCTTCTTATCTCTTCTAGAAGCTTCAAGAATTTCTTGAAGTCATTTTGCAGATTTGTGAGCCGCTCGCTCAGCGGCTGCAATTGCCCTCCGATCCTCTCTCAGCAACTTTGCCTCCACCCGAGCGCGACGCTGTGCATCGTAATCTTGCTCCTTTTTGAGCTCTACCTCATCTTAATTCTTTATTATGGTAGCGTTCTAGTGTTGTAATCGCTCTTGATCACGCTGCTTCTTCTTATAGAGCTCGCGAGTTTCTCGAATCTTCCGTGGTGACCAGAAACTGGCTCCATTATGAAAGTCACCGGGCTGCTGCATTATTCCCAGTTGCGTTCGATTCTCAATCTTTTGCTCATAGAGTAGAGCTTCTTTTAGCTTCTGGTCTTTGCGCTGGGCAAGCTTCCAGCGGGTGGATGGCCTTACGACCGTCCGATCAAACTGCGAGATCTTTCTCCTCTCTTTCTAACTGACAGCGCGGTCGATAAACTCTCTAATTTTTCACTAATTAAAAGTACATAGAGTGGACAAATCCGTATCGCTTCAATAAGCTATGGTCTCGGACTCCCGGAGTAATACTAAATTGAGCTAAATTCCTACGCAGAAGCATGGAGTAGAACTATATTTTATTTTCATGTCGGCTCTACGACCATTACGATCTGTCGCAGGGGCTAGTTTTGGTTTGAGAAGATCTGGATAGCGCTGATAGAGCGAAAAACTCAATGGCAACTGATCTATTCCCGCGCATTCTTTTGATGCAAAGGACTGCTTTTCGAAATACGATAGCTAGTGATTAACATATGCTGTCCCTGATCGTGGCTGCGTACCGTGGAGGCGGCGTCGGAGTATCCGTAGAGCATTAAAAAACAAGGTAAATTGACGCTCGCTAGGAACACATTTCTCTTGGAGCATACGCAATGCTAGTAGAAGCCTACCTTAATGAGAAGTCTGCTGAGGCTGCTATTATTGCGTTACATAGTCATCAGCGCAGACAGAGTCGCAATAGATTGGTGGAGTGGGCCACTTTTAGACGTGGGCCACTTACTGATAACGTTCCCCCTCGCGTGACGCGAAACTCTGTGGGCCGAGAACAACCAATAAGACATAGCAGTGCGTCGGAAAACCTATCGTCTTTGCGTTCTCGTTGGTCACTCTCGGCACACAGAACTTCTCGGCACACAAAGAGTGACGTTAGTAGAACACGTCATCTCGGTAGTTGGTGAGCGCCGTAGCCGGTCGGATCATCGTCCGATCTTAAAATTTGAAAGTTGGCAGCCTTGGCAAATGTCAGCCCCTCAAAGTTGTCGAAGTATCAATTACCTGCTTTTTCTAATCAACGACAACTCGAAATCTTCTGTGATGTTTACCTAGGTTGCGACAGTCGGCGAGGCTTTCTTTACACTAGAGCGATCCTTGTCCCATAGTCCACGAGTCGTCATGGGTTCCTGCCAGAACGAAAACCCATCTCCAACACGCACAACTACGGCCAACTTCTTCGATTTACCAAAGAAGGCGCGCGAGAATATCTACAAGAGACTCCTAATCTTACGAAGTCCGATTTATATCTTCCAAGAGCCGAACTCCCCTATAGAGAGCTTTGCGCCCGACAGACCTTTTCGATGGCTTGCTTTGCTACGTACCAATCGACAGATACACACGGAATCCAGCGCAGTACTCTATGGGATGAATCAATTTCATCTCGTAGAAATCACGCCAATTCAAGCCGAGCTCCTGAAATCGTTTTTAGCTTGCATTGGTCCCGCGAATTCAGCCTCATTATCTTATCTATGCGTCAATTTTACGGTCGCAGAACGCTTGGGTGGCAAAACAGGAATGATTAAGCTCACCACCGACAGCACACAGACCTTAAGACTATATCGCGACAAATGCGCTCAGCTATCGACCCTAGAAACTGTTGTGCACTACAAAAATTCTGGATTCTTTAGGGAGTCAGACGACTTTCTTCAAAATGCGCTACCGTTCATCGATAAACAATTGAGAACTATCCCCTCATTACACAAGATCATTGTCCGGTTTCTTGATTTCCATGGGATACCAACTGCTTTCGCAAAGGATTTGATGGAAGGGCTTGGGTGGATAGTGGTACTTCGTAGTTGAATCAATCCTGGCGGTCAACATGATGAGGGTTTTTTGTGATTCTCCCTAGATATATAAGGATGCCCAGTGGTTTTGTTAGTCCATCTTACGCGTTGGCGAAATTCAAACATCATCAGCGCAAAGTGGCACTTAAGTATTCCTTTGTTTACATCACATCATGTTAGAGATATTGTACTGCTTGATCTGACTGCTGGCATCACGCTTTTTTTCTGCATAACCCTCTATTCTTCTTTTGCCTCCTGTCACTCCTTACGCCCTGTTTTGTCTCTAGACTCTTATCTGCTAGCTTTAAGTAGACGTTGTTTAATTACACAAGAATGTGTTACGTTAAGCGCGGAACGGTGCATGGTAGCGCCAGTGCGGAACGGTACGTGCTAATGCTAACGCGGAACGGTGCGTACTAACGCTAATGCAAAACTAAGCGGCAAATTTCCGCCACACCACTGCTTGGCGTAATAATTTCCCATCTACCACCGTTTCAAATACACTACCACACACGTGACGTTAGCTTGTAAAATATCCCACATGCCACTGTTTCTATCCGAAATGCCACCGTTTAAAGTCTCAGCTAACGGGCACTTAGCCGCCTATAAGGGGTTTAAAAATAGCGAATCTAACGCCCCTAAGGGATGGGTATAGGGCTTATGCAACCTCTCCCCAAAACTCCAAACATAACCGAACCTAAGAACTGCTTCTCTGATAATCTATTATCGGTCTTTAACCTCACAACAGACTGTTTAGACTCAACAGAACTACCTTATCGACGAACACTACTACGATAAGCCTGAGAAACGCTGCCCTACATGCTCTTGGATAGTAGACAAAGACAGTAGTAGTTTTATATAAAGAGAGGGGTTGAAAATTGTAATTTATAGTAGATCTAAATCTTTCTATAGTCTCACAATTGGCCTATTCGAGCTCTTTTTCTTGATCGCGTTGATAGGGCTGGAGGCTCTTCGCTTTGGACACTACTCTCTCCACTCGCCATAGGTCTTTTATCTCTACTAGGTGGACTTGATGTGACATTATGGGTGATATGTGGAATAGAGCTAGATGTCGCGATTGTAAAAGTATCGTTCGTAATAGTAGAATCCATATAAGTGACTTGTAAAGCGGCTAGATCTACTTGAGAGCCGCTGCTACTTTGCTGTTCATCGTCTAGCCGTAGCTGCTGATCTACAATTGGCTGGAAGACTGGCGGTTTAGGAGATGTGGGCCGCAAGGTTGAATGTTCTGCTTCCGCTGTAGATGCCTGTGCCATATCAGGTTGACCGTCTTCGTTGTTTCGGTTCTCGTTCACTGCTTGCCTAGCAGCTCCAATTCGCTGAGTCTGGTGGCGCTCTCTTATTGCCTCGATTTCTTTGAGGGATGCTTGTATAGCTCTGATCCGTTGCCACAAGGTATCGTGCTCTCTTAAGTCTAGAGGTTGGGAAATGAAAGATAGGGTAGACACGGTTTGATCAGTAAGTTGAGATGATGCCTCTTGATTAGATATAATCTGTTCGGGACAGCGCTGGATAGGTGTAATCTGGATAGGACGATTTGAAGCATCCGGGTGTTGTTGGAAATATGTTGCGCCTGATTGATATCGGTTTCGAGCCTCATCCTGTTGCTCCTTCCGACAGTTTGGTGATGCTAGATTTCCAAGTCTCCGGGCCTCTGTCTCCCGGGTCCTTCGCTTCATCCTTTTCTGGACCGGACGACCTCGCGAGGGAGCATAAGGAGGTGGCTTTGTAACTCCATCAGGTTCGAGATCGTCCAGTAAAACCGGTAACAGAGAGTATTTATACTGCTCACGGTACTCAGATATCTCGTAGAACTTGGCAATATACTTCTCGGGTTTAGTATTAAAGAACCGACATACGGCAATCGCATGTCTACAAGGAATTTTGTGATCCTGGAAAGCAAGACAGGAGCATTTTTGACTTTTGAGCTGAACGAGACGAGTGTTCTGGTCCCCTGGGTTTGCTCGGTATGCTAGAGCTACCATATTCTCGCGCTCTTGAGGAGTCACAAGGTACTGGTTACTCTCCTCAAGCTCTTTCCGGAAATATGCCATAGCATAGTTGGTATACTTCTCGTCTTTCTGGGGGCTATGACGTCTTTCGTAAAATTTCGACATCATATATGTCCATATATGATGTAGTGAATGGAAAATCGGTAATTCACGGGCCTCCTATAGCTTGGTCTTAAGACTACAAAAAACAACCCTTCAACAATCAAAACAGCCAAATAAGACAAGACAACTACGCGCCATCACGAGCTCCATCCCATCTACCCAAGAGACAGAAGAGATCATCCCATATCGGTTCAGACCATGGGATTCTCTCAACTACACTATCTCTATATCAAAGAAATCTAAAGAAGAAGAGGCAATCGCGCACAAAGATTATATCCAAACAATAGAGGATAACTCTATAGTAATCTACTCAGACGCATCTAAAACTAAAGACGGAGATGGGATAGGAGTAGGCGTAGTGGCTTATAACCTAAACCAAGAAGAAATATACGCAGCGACAAGTAATATAGGCGAGCAGCAGCTAGTCTATAATGGAGAGCTAGAAGGCATTACAACAGCGTTT